AAGAACAATGAGGAACTGAGCAGATGTTTGTTCTCCCAGGATGTTTCTTGTCCTGGAGAATCACAGCATCACTGGATCACTGAAGTCTCGGTTGTGACTGGAGGCCAAACTGGAGTTATTCTGTAGCTGGGCTGTAGGCAAGAGAACTAGGCTAACCAAATGATTTATCCCTAGAATTATGTAGCATTGCTCCCAACATATCTCCCTTTCTTTTTGTTTTATGATTTATCCCTAGAATTATGTAGCATTGCTCCCAACAAATCCCCCTCAGAATACTTCTTCTTCTTCTTCTTCTTTCAAACATACTTATCCTATCTTTCTTACCATTTCTGGAAGTGCTCTTTTTTGAGTGTCTTTACTTGTGCTGTCCTAGCTGCCTTGATGTCCTGAATAGATTCAACATGTTTACCTTTTGTGGTCATTTGACTTTGGGGAAGAGTCAGAAGCCACCCAGTGCCAGAGCCAGTGAATAAGGTGGGTGAGGACACATTATAATGTTTTTAGGAGTCTGTCTTTCCCTTGTGGCAAAATTCACCATATTTTTTATCACATCTTGTAAAGACAGTTATGAAAGAGGACTTCCAGAACTGCTTCAGAAAGTGGCAAGAGTGATGGGATGTATGTTTTTTAAAGAAGGGGGTATTCTGAGAAGAATTAATAGCAATATGTCTTTTACTGTAATAAATTCTTTTATTTAAACATTCACTGTAATTTTCAATCACACCTCATATAGTATGTGATACTTTGGCTCTTTGATACAGCATAAGGTTTCAAGATTCATCCATGTTATAGCATGAATCAGTATTTTATGAATTTTCATGGTAGAATCATTTTCCAATGTAGTAATGTACCACACTTTAATTATTCATTCATCAGTTGATGGACTTCCATGCTGCTTCCACTTTTTGGCTACTGTGAATAATGCTGCTATGAATACAGGATGGTTTGAAAAGTGCTTCACCATTTTCTTCTTTCTGTAGTCTGTTAAAAATACAAGGTGTCTTGGACTCTTCTAACTAAGAGTTGGTTATTCTTTGGTGACTTTATAGGATTTACTACAACTGTTGTTATTTAGGTACAATTATTTATGTGTTATGTAATTCTTTCCTGTCTCCGAGCTCCACTAGGACCATGATTGCATGGTTTGCTTGTTTCTGTATGCTTTGCCCAGTGATTGACATATGTTAAATTTTTTGATTCATTTTGTCTAAACTCAACCTCAGATTGACCTCTCAAATTCCCCATTTCTATAAACAACATTACTGTTATCTCAGTAACTTGAGATCTAAATCAGAGTCATGTTTGAGTCTTCTCTTTTTCACTTCTTTCTCTATATTGATCAGTCAGGGAATTTTTTTGAAACTTAGTTTAAAGCAGGTCTTCATATTTGTCCATCTATTCCTTTCTTCTACACTACACAACATAGACCTTCACACTTCACACACTCCCTGTCTTCCTTCTCTCCTACTTTTAAGATATTTTGTGGAAAGTTTTTGAAGTAATCTTCACAATAAACCAAGTGCAATACTCCACTTCCCTCTTCTTGAACTCCTGGTGGTTTCTCACTGGCCACACACTAGAAGCCTCAGCCCAGAGTTGGAAGATGTCCACAATGTGACTCCTTACATACTGTGAGGCCAACAGCTGTCTCAGTCTTTTCTAGTTCTTTTTTCTCTTGTTTATCAGAAGATGGACTCTGCCAAGGGAGACAAATACAATTAATTTGGGATATTTTTATGGTCAGCTTTCATCTTATTAACCAATATAAATGTTTGATTCAGCTGGGGATGTAGCTCAGTGGTAGAGCACCTGCCTAGCACGTGTGAGGCCCTGGGTTCAATCCCCAGCACATGTGTCCATGGACACACGTGTGTGACATGTGTGTCTGTACATGTGCACACACACATGGGAAAAACTAGCTATAACAGAGAATGCTGTGATCCAATGTTCAGAAAAAAATTTCATGCTAGTAATATTTGATTGATTAATGTTAGATCACTATATTCTAAACCAAAACATATTTACCTTGATTTTCATATATTCTTCCAAAGCTGAATTACTCAGCTATATTCTGTAAGAAATTTGCTATGTACAAAAACTCTATGCTTTCCTACCACAGAAAGGATCAGAAACATCATTAAAAAAAACTCTCTTGTGTCTTTTTATTTTTTTATTTTTTTTCCTCATTAACTTTATTGGTAGATTTTAGGTATAAAATACAGTTACATTCATCATTGGGATCTTGTACCATTACATGAGTCTCTTTTTTTTTTTTTTTTAGTACCGGAGATCGAACTCAGGACCTTGCACTTGCAAGGCAGGTTTGGCACCACTCAGCTAAATCCCTGGCCTCTCTTGTGTCTTTTTATTTATTTTTTTTCTTGTGTCTTTTTAAAATTGACTATCAGCCAAGTGGTGACACACACCTGTAATCCCAGCACTATGGGAGGCTGAGGCAGGAGGATTGCAAGTTCAAGCCCATCCTGGGCAACTTAGCAATACTCTGTCTCCAATTTAAAAAATTGAGAAAAGTGCCCTGTGCATGTAGCTCAATGATAGACTGCCCCTGGGTTCAATTTCCAGTACTGGAAAAAAAATTGACCATCTCATATCATTTTAGATAGCCATTTGGGTCATTGTCATGTTAGCATGGTTCTCACACACATGTCTAGCCTAATGCCAAGACTTGCCCATACACAATCAGTTATCACAGGAGAGTAGCTAGTTGTTCCATCCCAGAGGCCCCACCTCTGACCACTATGGCTTATTCCCTTCCGTCTCTCCACATCTGGAGTGAATTCTTGTGGCTTAGTTCTCTTGCCACTACTACACAAGTCTCACATACTGTCAATGAAAACTTTACCCAGGCAGCTTTCCCTGCCTCCTTTCTGTCAAAGGCCACAAGACCTTTCAGAAAAAAATTATGCAGTGAGTCCTTCTCTGAGCTCTCTCGGGTACCTGGAAGATTCTTCGTCCCATCTAGCCTTTGAATGTTCAGACTTGAGCAGGCATTTAAGTTACCAAGCCTTGATTCCATCTTCTGTAAAGAGAATAATCATCACAAGAGCCAATGGTGCCCAAGATGACAGAATCACCTGACATGTCGCAGTGTAAGCTTTCTTCACGGTTTTACCTGGGTCATAAGTTCATGGAAGACACAGCCATGATCATCCCACTCAGATAGCAGCTTTGATGCATGCTACCTAAACCTGAATAAGTGATCATGGTAATTTTCTTTCTAACATAAATTAGAGTCTTTTCTCTTTATCTAGGTCAATGCTGGCCCGCTAGCATATGCCCGAGCCTTCTTAGATGACATGAACACAAAAAGATATCCTGACAATAAAGTGAAATTGCTAAAGGAAGTTTTCAGGTAAAGCAGCCTGTGATCTTTTTTGTGCTCATTCAGGAAAAAGATGCTACAGTTAGGCTCACTCTTTTCCCTCTGCATGCCTTTATGTCCTCTCTTGCCCCATTTTAGGCAATTTGTGGAAGCTTGTGGGCAAGCCTTGGCAGTAAATGAACGCCTGATTAAAGAAGACCAGCTAGAGTATCAGGAAGAAATGAAGGCCAACTACAGGGAAATGGCGAAGGAGCTTTCCGAAATCATGCGTGAGCAGGTAAGTGCCATGCTGGCTCTGGCAACTGGCAATTCTTCTGATCTGGGGAATGTGGATTCATTGGGATCTCAGATGCACCTTGTTATAAGCTGAGCCGTCCAATAATCCTGCCAGAATCTCCCTATCTAAAGGAAAATGTGACATGCCACACTCCTGCTACCTCACCCCAGCTTACCTCGGGAACAACTGACAGATTTCTCATTTATCATCAGAAACAACCAGGGAAAGCAGCACCCACCTCATTGCTGCCCTTAGAGGTGCTGCATTTCATGAACTTTGGCAGTCCTACCCCATCTAGCCAAGGGAAACTGCACCTGTCCTTACAACTTTCTTTGTACACTTAATCTTTTGAAAAAACAAAGTGTGCCAGCCTAGTTTATAGAATTATCTGTAGCATCAAATGTCTTTTGTCGTTTAAAAATAGTCATTCTATTTGGGACTACTTACAGCTGACCTGTATGCCCCAGTGGATTCCTTATGGTGACTTATTTTTTGTTCATTCTCATTGTGGCTATCTTTCCTGATCTCATTCCTCTTGTCTGTATGAATTCTGTATGAATTCCTATGTGAATTTTCTGTGTGGTCCCAGAGTCATCCGAAAAGACATCTGACCAGCATACAAAGTGAATGTCAAACAGCATCACCCACATTCATCCGAGTCACTGTCCTACTCTTTATAATGAGTATTAGCACCTTGATCGTACATAAGGAGCCTTGTCTGTTTCCTTCATTAGGGTCCTTTGGTCTTGCGGAATGGAAGCCCTTTGTGTCAGTTGTCCTATCACATGACAATTTAGTTAGGAAACCCCATTCATTGCAATGTTTAAGCTTTAACTTACTGCTTTTTTTCTCCTCCATGCTGACACGCTCAGATGGGATGGTAATGTCATTTTTAAATTTTATTTTATAATAAACTAAGTCACCTAAATTGATTCACATAAAATTATTATTGAATTTGAGCAGACATTGGACAGTACATATACAAAGGAAAGCAACCTTCTTCTGGACATTTGAAAAAGTATTTAAAAATTGAAATGAGGGCTGGGGATTTAGCTCAGTGGTTTTGCTGCCTGCTGTGCAAGCGCAAGGACCCGAGTTTGATATCCAGTACCAAAAACAATTTTTTTTAATAAATAAATAAAAATTGAAATGACTGAATGTGTGAATAAGCAGAAAGAGAGGGGTCCCATGTGAACAAATTTATGGAGAAAACTTAAGGTCTTTTTCATGGAACCTCCAGATTCCTGTAGAATGGACAGCTTAATCAATAGGCATCAGTATTCAGCGCTAGAAAAGATGGAAGTTGGAAGGAATTTGTGGGCTGAGACTATTTTTTTTTTTTTTTGGTACCGGGGATTGAACTCAGGACCTTGGGCTTGCAAGGCAGGCAGCAGCTCCACTGAGCTAAATCCCCAGCCCTTGGGCCGAGACTATTAATCTCCCAGATTACATGGACATTAATTGCAGTGATTTGCTCTCTAGTTGTTGTACTTGGAGCCTCGCATTATGTCAAATACAGTGACGATTAAACCCCTTAGGACCCTTAAACAAAAAGGATTATGAACTGTATAGTTACTTTTCGTGTTTGCAGAAGAGCCTCTGTGTGATCAAGTCCTACACCAGATTCCTTCCCAGCAACACTGGCTGTGAAAAGATAACTTGTTCAGGGCCAGAGAGTGACCAGTCCCTTACCCAGGATGGAAATCTGTAAGACTCTTAGAAAAAGAGACAGGAAAAAAACCAATGGTCCATTTTCATTTCAGAAGGCCTTTTCAAGGGGCAAGGCGAGATCATGTCCCAATCAAGTTGTAAGCTAGACCTCAAGTTACCTATGATCTGATGAGTCTAGAAGACTCTCCATTCACTAACTTGTAAAGGAAACAAAACATGTTTGACCTTCTCCTTACAATTTTGATCTGAGGAAAAAAAAAACAAACAATTTTGACCTGAAAATAGTTATTTAATAGATAAGTTGAAACAGCCTCCCTGCAAACTGCCAGAGCCAAGCTGTCTGTGTGCACCATTGTTCATTAGTAATGGAGTGACCACTGGACGACAGGTTGTGCATGTTACCCAAAGCACACTGTTTTGAGAAATGTTTGCTTGGGGCCTATGCTTTGGTAACATTATATTTCTGTGCCCCGAGATCTGCCCCCTGGAGGAGAAGACGAGCGTTTTGCCGAACTCCCTTCACATCTTCAATGCCATCAGTGGAACTCCAACAAGCACAGTGGTTCACGGGTTGACCAGCTCGGCCTCGGTTGTGTGATTTCACCTCATGGACCATGTGCAGGGACTTCATCATTACAAACTCAGGATGATTTCTAAAGCTAATCACTGGGGAGACTGAGCACTGGGAGAAGCCATGGGGAATGGGAGAGAAAGGGAATAAGGACTGTGATATTTCATAGCAAATTTTCTACCAGAGTTAGAAGAGGGTGTGCATATTTTTTTAAATGTCAGTAGCAATATTCAGAGTTTTCCTTGTGTCGAGTTTTATTCTTCCTTACAGAGTAGTATTAAAATAAATGGCCTAAAGAAGAAAAGTATTCTGGGATGAATGTGGCAGGGACAGCAGCACTGAAACTGAGCGGGGTGGGGTTCTGCCTCTGGGATAAGCTGGAAAATCTTGAAAATATTATTTTTCCCTGTAGCACATTCAGGGTGAATACAAGAACTATTTTTGTGACTAGTTTTGGATGACCTAAGGGAACTGACCATTGTAATTTTTGTACCAGTGAACGAGGACATTTAGTGCTTTTATACTCATTCCTTGCATTGAAAACATATGAAAGCTTAAGAAACTATGTGAGCTTAAAACCAGTCAAGCAGTTTAGAACCAAAGGCCTGTACTCACAAACACAACTGTGCTAAAAAGTGAAAAGTAGTACAGTATATCACTATGTACATACAGTTTGTTAATACAGTCTCAGCATTCTGTATATACATGTATTACATTTCTACATTTTTAATACATCTGCTTCCACATTAAGTTTAATTGTGACAAATTTGTGCTGTTCTTAGTATATGCAATACACCTGACTTTACTATTTTATTCTTGTACATAAAGAAAAGTGCAATATGGAGATGTATACAGTCTTTGCTATTTTAGGTTTATAAACTGTTAAAAATTTCATCCTTTTGCCAAAACGGTGGAATCTGTGATTGGTAAATCATAAATCCTGTGGTGAATGGGAGTATGATTTAAAACTTTCACCATGTTGTATTTTCTTTTAAGACATTAATTTAGTAATTTTATATTTGGGGAAATAAAAATTTTTAATTTTATTTAACTGGAATCACTGCCCTGCTGTAATTAAACATTCTGTACCACATCTGTATTAAAAATAACATTGCTGATTTTCTGGTAATGAACACCGGGTATTTATTATTTGACAGTCCTAAAAGGATTAGGGTTCTGTGAGAGTGAAATAACATGGTATCTGAAATTTTCTCTAAAATACCTGAGGAAAAAGAGAATAAACAAGAGTGATAAAATGTTAGTAATTGCCGAAGCTGAGGTGGGGTGGGTGGGGAATCCTCACTCCAGTTCTCTGTTTTGGTGGAATTTCCATGACACGGTTTCAAAAGGCAGGTCTGGGACTTTTACACTTCCCTGGGATGAGGGTTAGGATGAGTGCTTTATCCTGCGCTCGGGCTCGGGGCTGCACCAGTTACTCCCAGGTATGTGTAGATGCCTTATTACTCTGGCTGTTCCTCTTCAGCTCTGTCAAGGCTGCCATCTTTTCATCTCTCTTATCTGCTTTTAGGCAAATACTCTGGGGTCAGGTGATCATTTGTCCAGCAGTGCCACTGGTTCACAGTGCCCCTGGGCCCCATCATCACACAGGCTGACCTGGGCTACCTGGCATTCTGATCACAGGCTGGTTCTGCCTCTGAGTAGCCAGCCCATGAGTCAGCTCCTTGTCACTCGGTCCCGTGTAGTGCTAGTGGGGGAGAAAAGAGACTTTCTGCGAGGAACAACTTAGTGATTGCTCTACCTGAAGGGTTGCAAAGGCTTTTTACCTGACCACTTAAGAAGAGACAGCTTGTTAATAGTTAATAGCAACACACAGATGCCCCTCATGCTGGGGTTGAGTCCCAATAAATCCTTCATAAATTGAAAAGATTTGGTCTTCAACCACTTAAGGAACGGAAGGGCTAAAATGCAGACAACTATAGGAGCAGCCATAGAGCAGCTCCTCCTTGGCATGGCAGGGCTGTGGGGCTTTTGTATATGGGAATTTAGTTGGAAATAGAAGTCAGATTCAAGGGAGAGCCTGGGCTGGAGGAGACACCACTGTTAAACATCTTAAATGTCACACTATCTAGTGGCACTACCATAAGAGACCGCGGAGATGAGGAACCAACACAAAAGACCGAAAATAGAAGTCTGTGATGTCTCCCTCTGCACAGTGGGAAAGCCGCATCACTCCCCACCTCATGGGAACGCAATCTGTGGGATCATCAAGGCCGAGAAAGAATACCGTCCTGTTTGGAAGAGCAAGAACAATGGTTACAACAGTTCCTTGAAGTCTGTGTTGGCTAGAATTTGTCTAGAATGTTGTCCCACTGGTTGAGATGGGGCAGTGGCACCTACAGGTGTGCTGATGATAGCTACCTGGGGTTTACCTCGGAGCTTCCTATTCCTTATAAAGGACCCACAGATGAGGAATAGAGACTGGATTGCTAGGCCTCAGAAATTGTGACAGCATAGCTATTGCTCAGATGGAGAAACATATAAAGAACTCCAAAAAAATAGATCCCCCAAAATAAAAGACTCAATCAAAAATAGGCAACAGAAATGAACACGTCTCAGAAGTACAAATGGCCAATAAATACACGAAAAATAGTACAATATCTATGGCCATTAGAGAAATGCAAAGTAAAACAACACTCAGATTTCATCTTACTCCAGAAAGAATAGCTATCATCAAGAAATCGAGCAACAACAACAACAAAAAAGAAATCGAACAACAAATGCTGATGAGGCAGTGGGGAAGAAGAGACTCATACATCGGTGGGGATGTAAACTAGTATGATCACTGTGGAGATTTCTCAAAAAACTAAAACTAGAAATTCCATTTGACCCAGCTATTCCACTTCTAGGTATCTTTCTGAGAGTCAAAGACATACTACATTGATAACATGCATACCCATGTTTGTAGCAGCACAATTCATAATAGCTAAATCTTGGAAGTGGCCTCTATGTCTACCAATAGATAAGTGGATAAAGAAAATGGGCATTTATACACAATGGAGTACTACACTGCCATAAAGAAGGATAAACTCGCACTTGAGACCATAATGTTAAGTGAAATAAAAGAGACACGAGGGGCAGCCCACTTTCCTGACACCCTTCTGTCTCTCTTAGGCAGAAGCTTTCTTTCTCTCAATAAATTTTTCCTACTCCTAACCTCCATTGTTCCTAGAATTCATTCTTTGATATTAGAGAACACGAACTCGCATTTCGGATATCTAGTGTGTTTGGGAGTTACAGCTCTTCCCCCTATGTCATTTTGGAAATCTTCCGCCGAGATTACTTTTCGGAGGTAAGAGTTTTATTTCATAGATTCTAACTTTGGTCTTTTTGCTTCATAGAATGTAACTTTTGTTTCATGGCCTCTCAAGATTTGTTCCATAGATTCTGGTTTCTGTTTCATAAATTCTGGCCTTTGTTTTGGCTTTTGTTTCAAAAGTGTCTCAATTTTTAAGTTGTGTATGGGGTTTTTTTGGTTTGTTTGGTACCGGGGATTGAACTCCGGTCCTTGCGCTTGTGCAGCAGGTGGCGAAACCATTGAGCTAAATCCCTGGCGAGTTGTGTGTTTTAAATGTTTGCAGATTTCTTGTTTTTCTTATGCATTGTTTTTTGTTAAAATTACGTTTTATTCTTGTTTTGTATGTGCTGCATTTGGACTTAGTTGCTTAGAAATGTTGTAAAATGAGTCTCTTATAAAATCAGCTCAGATAAAGACAGTTCAGGCTTTTATCTGTCCCTTATACTGTGCCAAACAGTGGTTACTCTGCCAGCTAGTAATTGCCTTTAGGGCAGCTGCCACTCTCAAAGCAGAGGACAGGTTTCTCCAGTTGTCCTCTGGTGAATCCCCACTCCCATTGACACCGATGGCAGGTAGAAAGTTGACCAGATAGGCAATTGGGTTCCTTTTGGAGACAGATCTCTGATTGCATGGAACTAGCAGAAACTGAGGTGACAACTGAGGGGTCATGGCCAGGGCTACTCTGGCGGACACCCAAAGGTCCCTCAGAAGAAACTGGCTCCTGACAGCCCATCCGGGTAATCCACAGAAAATCTCCACATC